TCCGGGCCTTATACAGTTTAATGTGATGCATTTCGTATTGGACTTGGTGCAGTGTTGATGCAGGATGGCAAGGTCATTGCCTATGCTTCGCGACAGTTGAAGATTCATGAGAAGAACTATCCGGTTCATGATTTGGAGTAGGAAGTCAGCCAGGGTGGGCAGTCTAGCTTATATTCCGGTCGGTGAGAGACCGCTTGCTTTGGATGTTCAGGCTTTGGCCAATCAGTTCGTGAGGTTGGATGTTTCTGAGCCCAACCTTGTGTTAGCTTGCACAGTCGCTCGCTCTTCATTATTGGAGCGTATCCGAGATCGGCAGTATGATGATCCCCATTTGTGTGTCCTCAGAGACACGGTGCAGCACGGAGGTGCCAAGCAGGTTACCTTAGATGATGATGGAGTTTTGAGATTGCAGGGTCGAGTTTGTGTGCCTAATGTGGATGGGCTTCGAGAGTTGATGTTGGGAGGAGGCCCATAGCTCCTGGTACTCTATTCATCCGGGCACCGCGAAGATGTATTAGGATTTGCGGCAGCACTATTGGTGGCGGAGAATGAAAAAGGAAATTGTTGCATATGTGACTCGGTGATTGAATTGTCAGCAGGTTAAGTACGAGCATCAGAGGCCCGGTGGTTCATTTCAGAGGATTGAGCTTCCCGAGTGGAAGTGGGAGCGGATCACTATGGATTTTGTTGTTGGACTTCTGCAGACTCGGAAGAAGTTCTACGCAGTATGGGTCATTGTTGATAGGCTGACCAAGTCAGCACATTTCATTCCTATGGCAGTCTCCTATTCTTCTGAGAGGTTAGTTGAGATCTATATTCGGGAGATTGTTCGCCTTCATGGTGTGCCCGTGTCTATCATTTCTGACCGAGGTACGCAGTTTACCTCGCGCTTCTGGAGAGCAGTTCAGCGAGAGTTGGGCACGCGGGTTAAGTTGAGCACAACATTTCATCCCCAAACGGACGGGCAGTCCGAGCGGACTATTCAGATTTTAGAGGATATGCTCCGAGCTTGTGTTATTGACTTTGGAGGCTCGTGGGATCAGTTTTTGCCTTTAGCGGAGTTCGCCTATAACAAAAGCTACCAGTCGAGTATCCAGATAGCTCCTTATGAGGCCTTATATGGTAGGTGGTGTCGGTCTCCGGTTGGATGGTTTGAGCCGGGGGAGGCTCGATTGTTGGGTACAGATCTGGTTCAGGAGGCCTTGGACAAGGTCAGGATCATTCAGGATAGGCTCCGTTCAGCTCAGTCCAAGCAAAAGAGCTATGCCGACCGCAAGGTTCGAGATGTGGCTTTTATGGTCGGTGAGCGGGTATTACTCCGAGTGTCGCCTATGAAGGGCGTAATGAGATTTGGGAAGAAGGGCAAGCTTAGCCCTAGGTTCATTGGCCCGTTTGAGATTCTTGATCGAGTGGGAGAGGTAGCTTATAGACTTGCATTGCCGCCGAGCCTATCAGCCGTGCATCCAGTGTTTCATGTGTCCATGCCTCGGAGGTATCACGGCGATCCATCCCACGTGTTAGATTTCAGTATTGTCCAGTTGGACAAGGACTTGTCATATGAGGAGGAGCCGGTAGCTATTCTAGGCCGGCAGGTTCGTCAGTTGAGGTCGAAGAGTTTACCTTCTGTTCGTGTTCAGTGGAGAGGTCAGCCTGCTGAGGCATCGACCTCGGAGTCCGAGTCTGATATGCGGAGCCGTTATCCCCATCTTTTTCCCGACTCAGGTACTACTTTCTTATGTCTGTTCGAGGACGAAAGGTTGTTTTAGAGGTGGAGAATGTGATGACCCAAACGGTCATCACTTGTTTTAAATTAAATTCTATGTTTCCGAGGCCTTGAAAACCTCATTTAGAGCCACCTCGATTTGCGTGCGCAGTCCGGGCGCATAGCCGGAAAGCGTATATGTGAAAATTTGTGAAAAATAATAAAATTTGGTCATAAAATGAGTTATTTTAACTTCGGTCAATGTTTTGGGTAAACGGACCCGGACCCATGATTTGACGGTCCCAGAAGGTCCGTAGAAAAATATGGGACTTGGGCGTATGCCCGGAATCGAATTTCGAGGTCCCAAGCCCGAGAAATGAATTTTCAAAATAAATTATTTTCTGAAATTGTTTATAAGGTTTTGAAATGAAATTTGATGAGAACGTGTTGGTATCGGGCCCGTATTTTGGTTCCAGCGCCTGGTACAGGTCTTATATATGATTTAATACATTCCTGTAAAATTTGGTGAAAAACGGATGTCGTTTGACGTGATTCGGACCTATATTGCTAAAGTTGATGTTTTATGAAGTTTGAGAAAAATCCTTTGATTTTGAGTTTTAATTCGTTGTTGTTGAGGTTATTTGGCGATTTGATCACGCGGATAAGTCGTATGATGTTGCTGAGTTAGTACCTATGTTTGGTTAGGAGCCCCGAGGGCTCGGGTGTGTTTCGGGAGGTTTTGAACTTAAGAAAAATTGCAGAAAAAGCTGTTCAGGTGTTCTGGTATTTCCTTCTTCGCGTTCGCGGGAAGGCCCTCGCGAACGCGATGTGTAATTTGTTGCTGAAGGAATTTCCTTCTACGCGAACGCGTAGCCTAGGTCGCGAACGCGAGGCAGTGGGGGGCTATACCTTCGCGAACGCGAAGGCCAAATGGGCCTGGGCAGGGGGAGGGGTAGTTACCTTACGCGAACGCGACCCATTGGATGCGAACGCGAGGGCTCGAGAAGCTAAAGCTTCGCGAACGCGAGCCCATTAACGCGAACGTGAAGGCTTAACCAGCCTGGCCCATCGCGAACGCGAAGGGTCTGTCGCGATCGCGTAGAGTAAAATCGCCCAGTTAAATTTTAAAACTTCAGAACAGTAGCCTTACGGGATTTCATAAAATTTTCATAAACCCCTTCTTCTCCAAAGCTCTTAGGCGATTTTTGAGGCACTTCTTCACCAAAACTTCTTGGGTAAGTAATCTTTAACTTGTTTTCTTCCATTTTCATCAGCATCTATTAGATTTCTAGGCCTAAAACATGTGATTAAAGGTAGAAAATTAGGGATTTGGGTAGAGTTAGGGCTTTTTGATTAATTATAATTTAGACCTCATTTTGGGGTCGAATTTTGAAAATAATTATATATTTGGGCTCGTGGGTGAATGGGTGATTCGATTTTGGTTCAAACCTCGTGTTTCGACCAAGCGGGCCCGGGGTCGATTTTTGGGTTTTTGGGAAGAATGATTGAAAAGCTATAATTAGGCATTGGATTCGAATTGTTTAGCATTATTTGATGTTATGAAGTCATTTATGTATAGATACAATTGATTTGGAGCCGAATTCGAAAGGAAAGGCAGTGCTTGAGGCTTGAGTTGGCCGTGGAAGTTCGAGGTAAGTGTTTGGTCTAACCTTAGCTTGAGGGATTAGGAGTTGTGTCCTATTTGCTATTTGTTTCTTGTTGAGGACGACGTATAGGCACGGTGACGAGTATCTATACTTTGGTGTCGAGCATGACCGTGAGTCTTATATTGTGATTTCCATGATTTCGTTGTGTTATTCATGCCTTGGTGAAAATTTCTATTTATTGCGTAAAGTTGTGAAAAGAATTGTGACCTATGAATGTTGAGGAGCGTTGGCTCCAGTTGTATAACGAATTGTGAAAATATAAGTGATAATTGAACCTCTAGAGCAGTGGCTCGAGTTGTGAAGTGAATTATGAAGTAAATGTGAGAAGAGAGGAGATCATTATGTTGCCCCCTTGCCGGGCTATTGTTGAGTTGTGGTTCCCTTGTATTGTGTTCTTAATTGATATTACAGATACCTAGTTTGATGATTCTTTGTGTTAGGTAAGGATTATGGTTATAGCTGAGGTAGTTAGATGTTGGAACAAGTTTGGGTATAGCTGAGGTAGTTAGGCGTCGTAACAAGTTTGGTTATAGCTGAGGTAGTTAGATGTTGGAACAAGTTTGGGTATAGCTGAGGCAGTTAAGTGTCGTAACAAGTTTGGTTATAGCTGAGGTAGTTAGATGCTGGAACAAGTTGGTTATAGCAGTTTCTTTTTTTTCCCTTGCCGGGATAGTGTAGATCTTTTGATCCCTTGTCGGGGCTCTCGTTATAATTGTAAATATTATATATGGATCGGGTTGCACGCCGCAACAATATTATATACGGATCGGGTTGCACGTCGCAACAATATAATATATGGATCGGGTTGCACGCTGTAACAATATTATATATGGATCGGGTTGCACGCCGCAACAATATTATATATGGATCGGGTTGCACACCGCAATAATATTATATATGGATCTGGTTGCACGCCGCAATAATATTATATATGGATCGGGTTGCATGCCGCAACAATATTATATATGGATCGGGTTGCACGCCGCAACAATATTATATGGGAGCGGCACTACAACAAAAAGGGGCTTCAGCGGCAATACAAAATGGCTTTAGCGGCAATAACAATAGCCGCTATATCTTTTACTGGCCGTTGGTGTTTTGTCGCTGAAGCTGGGGTCGGCAAAGCCTTTAGCGGCCTTTCTCACAAAAGCTGGTAAAAGGCATAGTTTATTGCCGCTAAAAATTATTATCTTTAACGGCAATTATTTGCGGCAATAATAATGGCTACTAAATTCAATCCAAAACGGCTAATTATACTCCTTTAGCATCCATTTTTATAGCCGCTAAATTTAAAATAATTGCCGCTAAAAGTTCACATCTTAACGGCAATTATTTTGTGGCAATTAAAATAGCCATAGTATCCCTTCTGAAAACACCTTTGTTTGTCGTTTTAGCGTCCATTTTAATGGCTAATATGTCTAACTAAATTGCCACTAAAAATCAATATCTTTAACGGCAATTATTTTCCAACAATTATAATGGCCGCAATACCCTTGTGAAAATATCTTAATTTGCCCTTTTATCGTTCATTTTATAGCTAGAATATCCAACTAAATTAGCGCTAATAGTCAAAAGAGGTAACAACAATAATTTTGCCACCATTAATAATAGTTACTACATCATCCAGTTAATGACCCAAATAAGAAAATATATTAATAGTAATTCAAAAAATATATATCTTATTAAATCTTAACAAACAAAAAGAAGTACTAATCAAAAATATTAATGTCACAGTAACTTAAAAAATAAACTTATATTGTTTGAACTAAATAGCTAATATCATTATATAAGTAATCCAGACGAATGATGGTCTTCAAATGATTTTGCAACTTTTCATCATTTTGAAATCTTTCTCCCACTAAATTATCGAACATCATATTGTATAACCTGAAATTATCAAAAATAACAGTGTCAAAAGATAAAATATAATATGAAAAAATATCTTGAATATTCCATCATTGTCAGATTCTTTATTAGCCAACTCCCTCACCTAACATCTATAAGCAGAAACAACTCTATAGATTAATATGCGAACAAAAAAAATGTAGTCATCAAACAATTAAAGAGAGTTTCTTTCTTTATTATGATAGAGAAGAAAAATTCAAAAGCACAGTATTAGCTTGGAGAAGTAAAAAGAAGCTGCACACCTTCTTTTCCTTAAACATGGATACTAGATTATGCTTACATGCTATTAATGAATCTCCCAAATAGGTGACAGAAAATTATACACATTAACCTCGACAAAACCTTAGGCATAATCATATTGTATGTGTCACAAATAGTTAAAATTAAATTTCTCTAGAAACTATAGCTAACTTAACAATAGAAAATAACTATAACTCCAAGACTGAGTCCTATGGACCATTGCAACATGATACTTATGAAACCTTCATACGACAAATATGAAGCTAAGTGTCACGACCCACAAGCCGCTGAATACTCTCTTAAATATTCCCAAAAACACCACATTCCAAAACACCTTACTCTAAAGAACTTCCTGCGAATCTAAATCCGTTACCTTTATCTTCCTGATACTAATACATAGAATCCCATAATTAACATAGAAATACCACAAGTCTTGAACTCTTCCAATGAAAACTCGGTTTCTAACCACATATACGACTTTGAGATACCCAATTGCTACATGAAGCATCTTGAACACATTAGAGCCATTTTCGAGAGTCATTCACTCTATTCATACTGCACTTAACCCGATCAACAGAACCGAACAACCAGCGCCTCATTGGCACTTCTGACACTGCAGCACATAACCTTTCCTTAGTCAAAATTTCCTTTACTCGAGCCATCCTCGGGCTCAATCCCGCAACCAGAACTGATTCACCACACGCCTCAAATCGGAACCAACATAGCACATAACCGAGCAATCAGCTAATCAATAGCAAACTCTCCACTTGGCTCGAAGCCATAGATCAGAATGCACTCAATAACTCATAACACTTATACTCTATTGATGCCACAATACCATAGTGAGATTAAACTCAAATCCTTTGTAAGCTTGTGTAAACACAAATCATCTAGTACTTTAAATCTTTGGCAAATCTCGCAACAGTTAAGCCCACTCTCTTAAGCGACCCAAACTTTCAAATTTCAGCACTTACATTTCACTTGCACATGAGATCTTCTAACAATCACATAAGGGTCACACAACCCCAGAACTCTTCGCAGGAGATAACCCGCTTGCTTTGCCTTCAGTTAACATTTTTGTATACCTTCCGCCGTCATAAACCGTACGCAGTCACTTAGATACATCTCGAAGTACTAACATACTCGTCACATAGCTATCCAGCCGTCACTTCCACTAATAGGAACAATACCGAACATATAGGTTCAAAACACTTGCTCATACAATCAGCACCTCAGTGCTCAAGCCATAGGCAAAGATCCGGCCTCAAGTCCTCCAGACTGGCCCAGCATCAACTCACAGAGATCACATCTCGCCCCTCGATCAGGGAATCACAGCCATCAAGGCACATCTGATACTGAGTGCTCATGCGCGCATACGAACGCGTGGAAGGAATTTCAAGAGTTACTTTTCAAGCTGAATCAAGGACGCACGATGAGAATTCCAAGAATGTGAAGTTTTCCTAAAGGTTCTGCAGCCTCTCGAGGATAAATATAGACGTCTCTGTACCTATCCGCGAGACTCTACTAATCCCCTCGCGTTCGCGAAGAAGGATTTGGCTTCTGGGATTTTGTTCTTTGCGTTCGCGAAGTGAGCCTCGCGTTCGCGAAGAAGAAGAAATTCTGTTGTGCAGGTCTTACTTCGGAGGCTCGTATCTCTCAATCTACAATGAATTTTGAGATGATTCAAAAACAAAAGTTGTAGCCCTTTGAATCTAGTTTCCAGAAACATATTATAATAGTTATTTGGACATCTGCAGCAAAAGTTATTGCCATTATACTAGAGGCTGTCCGAGAAGAGTTTGAAAAATGATTTTTGGAAATTTTGTTCTTCGCGAACGCGAGAGGAGGACCGCGAACGCGAAGAACAAATCCCTGGCAGTAGAATAAAGTCCAAACTCGTCTCACTCTTCCATTTTTGGACCAAGGGAGCTCGGGTGAGGCGATTTTTCGAGAGATTTTCAAGAAAAACATCGGGGTAAGTGTTCTTAACTCAATTTTGGTTAGATTACCCGAATCCATTGTTATTTAACATGTAATTGGTGATTTTGAGTTGGAAAAGTTAGAAAACCCTCTTGGATATATTTGAGGATTTGAGCGTCGAAATGTTATCGAAAATTAGTAATTTTGGTATGGTTAGACTCGTGGTTGAATGGGTTATCGGATTTTGTGAGTTTCGTCGGATTTCGAGAAGTGGGCCCGGGGCTCGGGTTTTGCTAATTTCGGAATTTTTATATTTTTCGATTGTTTTCGCTTGGGCTTTGTTCCCTTAGCATATTGTGACGTATTCGTTCTGGTTTTTGTCAAATTTGACGCGCGAGGAGGCCGATTTGAGAGACAAGGGCATAGCGAGCTAGAGCTTTGGCCGGTTTGAGGTGAGTAATGATTGTAAATGATATCCTGAGGGCTTGAAACCCCGTATTTGCACATCGTAGTGTTATATTGTGACTTGCACGCCGGATAGCGAGCGTGGGGTAGAGCACCGTTGGGGATTGTGACTTGGTCCGTCCCGATTGATGAATTTATTACGTATTTGACTGAAATTTACTTGTTATCATCATAATTTGGGCTGATTTCCATGTTTGGGTTTCGTGCCAGCTATTTGAACCCTTCGGGGATTGTTGTTGATATTTTTTCACTGTTTTGATTTTATACCTGAACTTAGTCATGTATTTTCCACTGTTTTTTTAAGACTCAGCCAAGTTTATTTTGCTTTAACACTTGAAATGATATTTCCAATAATATTTGGGCTGAGCATCATATTTTACTGTTGCCCTAGTGGCTTATGTGATTTTTGACTGAGTAAGGCCGAGGGCCTGTATTGTGAGGATACTTTTGGATCGGGCTGCACGCCGCAGCAGTGAGATATTGATTTGATATGAGGCCTAGGGCCTAGATTTGATGCCACGAGATGGCTTGATATTGCGCTTGGGCCGTAAGGGGCCCCTCCCGGGGTCTGCACACCCCCAGTGAGCGCCGTCGAAGATATATGGATCGGGCTGCACGCCGCAGCGGTACTGGTACTGTTCTATGTGTTTACTTTATTTCATTTGTCTGCCATTATCTGTTGTCTGTACTATTTCATGCAATACCTACCTGATTGCCTGGCATTATCTGAAAACTGAGTGTTGTGCCCGAGGGGCGAATTTCTGTGCTTATCTGCACTATTGTTTGCATTCAATTGCGTAACCGCTGAAAAAGTTATTTCCAAAAGAGGTTTAAACTGAGCCAAGATGTTTTCTAAGGATTTCACAGCTTCACTATTTTCTAAAAAGGGTTTTACACTGCTCTATACAGCATGACGGTTTGTTTTGCGTGATTTCTTACTGCTCAGTTATTATTTACCTTTATTACTCACTAAGTTGGAGTACTCACTTTACTCCCTGCACCTCGTGTGCAGATGCGGGTATTTATTCACCCAGTAGCGGGTTTTGGCCGATTGGAGGCAGAGCTATAGGAGTTTAGCGAGGTGACTGCCAGCGTTCGCAGCACCGCTTCTCTCTCTGTTGTTCATTATTCTTGTTCAGTGTATTTTTAGACCTTGTAGTTGTATTTACACTCTTATAGATGCTCGTGACTTGTGACATCCCGATTAGGGCTGTGTTGGGTTGTACTTCCGCTAATTAATATTATTAAATCAAATTTAGACTGCTTATTCATGTTTAACTATTTTTTTTGAAAAGGCGATATGGGTTAGTAGGCTAGCCTTGTCTTCACGAGAGGCGCCATCACGACCAGAGCGAGGATTTGGGTCGTGACACTAAGTCCAAACTTAAGACCTACTACATGACGTAAAACTTGTTAGCGAGTAGAGATGAGCTACATGAATCTTCTATATCAATAATAATCTCAACTAGTTGATCTTTTAAGAAAATCTATCTCAAAACCAAATTTGCCACTGTACCCACAAAATTTATCTTTCTAATCTAAATGGTGAAGAAATCAAGCACTTACAAGTAACTGAATATCTTCCACTCTACAGAAGATCTAGCCCTTGCTTAATACTTATCTTTCGTCAGATAGGATTAGAGGAAAAATGTTGGACTGATAACTGTCGTGGAACAAATATTTTAATAAGAGAGATCAAAAGTAATTGACCATCTTAAGTGGGATTCTTTCCAAATCCTCATAGATGAGTGACAAGACAGGATCTTTAAACTATCCTTCGGCATTTGAAATCTCCGATTTTTACCAATCCACCAAATCAAACTTTTGAAATCCTCTTTTGCTAAAGAACTCAAACTTCAATCAGAATGAATATTATTTTTCGAAAGGTAACAAGTAGAATGAATCTTTAGACAGTTTCAAATATAAAAGCAATAACTAGAGAGTCTCAATTTAAGTAATAAAGCATGGAATAATCGAGCAGCGCATCTGCTAGTAAGGATGGTTGCACTCACTTAAAAAGGAATCAACCAAGAAATAAGATGAAGATCACAGGCAACAGACTATATTTATCATTAGAAATAGTGGACAAAGTGCAATTAACACAACCACCACCAACACTCATTTTGTCATATTCTCCATTACAACATGCATTCTTCTCCACTTCACTCGCTACAAGGTTCAAATCAATTTCCATTAAATCTAGAAAAGTTGGTTTTTGTTTGGTTGGGTTTTCTTTATTCTTAGTTTAACATTACACTCCAACAAAACAAAAAAATAGCGAAAAAGCATATTAAAGGTTGAGAGGAGAGTAATCAAGCAGATTAATGATGTCCATTTAACTGAAAAAATAAATCATATTACACATATAATCACAATCAAGAAAAATGTTGCTTTCAAAATGATTCACTACTATATATCAGACATACATGACAAAAAATATTTAAAATATTATAGCTTATAATTTTTACAAGTTTACCTGCTCATTCATCAATGTAACAATACTTTGGGATCCTCCTGTGTGAGGCCTCATTTGCTTGGCCTTATTGTTTCTATTTGCTTGGGTACGTCTCTATCATTGAAATATTAAAATGACATTTTATAAATTTTAAATAAAATTTGAGCATAATTAAAATGAAAACGCTATGAAAATGAGCAGACTAGGAGAATTTTCAAGGTTAATACCTTATCTTTATCAGAAAGCCAATAACAGACAAGACCACTCCATTGATCCCTCGGTATACGATTTGGTCTATTTTTTAGCAAAGTCTTTAGTTTTGTATTTTCGCGTATACTCATCTTTTAAATCGCATTTGTAATCTTTCCATTTCTTTCCTAGTGACTTTAAGATCCACGCTTCTCCACGTTTTGGGATAGAGAACTTCTTCTGGAAAAAATAAAAGCCAACATTTAGAAAATAACATCATGTATAAAAGATTGACCATGTTCACAAAATAATAATAATTATGATAACTACTTCATACCCTCATAAAATCCACAAATTTCTTCTTCTCCTCATTGTCAAAATTTCTCCAAATATCTACATATAGAGGTGTTAGTTCTTGAATTCTGGCAATAATTTCTAGAAAGCTAGCAAGTTTTCGGCCCTTTTTTTTAATAGCTTAGTTACGATTATCAAACGACACATCAATTATCTTTTCCAACGGAAGTTTCCAAATATCTTTTAGTAAAGTAGGCCCGCGAACCTTTTTTGCTTCTAAATTACCTAGAATGGAAAAGATTTGAATCATATGATATAATTAGAAACAAAGGCTGCAGTCAACTGAATCAGCTGAAAACTGAAAACTGAAAATTTCATTTGCACTTCATTAAGAGCCTCAAACATTTGTGCCAATGCTATAGTAAAACTAGCATCTTACAGTCTGCATTTTTTAGACATAGCCTTAGGTTGAGATTTGCAGTTTTCTTTTGCACTTCATTATGAGAACTAGCTACTGTGAAAATATTCCTGTAGAATGTCATCCTGCAGTTTAAGCAAAATATTGTTTAGGATAATACATAACATGTAGTGCCTCTCGTATCTCTTTATTTTTGTTGGGGTGCATCTTTGAGGTCTTATAGTTTTCAATTAATTTGACACCAAATTTTGTGATTCCAAGATATTGGTCTGAATGCATCACATATTGCTATATTTCTTTGTTCTTATCTCCAAAAGATGTGCTCTCATATTTTGGCATCGTGTTAACATATCAGTCCTACGTTACAAGGAATCCAACTGGATCACGGCACTACTTTGGGCAGTCTTGCTGGTATGTTTAAGAAGGTATCCCTACCTTATTCTTATATACAAAATAATTTTACCAACAATATACTTTTAGTTTAGATGATGATTGTCCTTCAAGGTAGCCCGATTTACCTGATGGATAAGCATACATTCCATACAAGGACATAAAAAAAATTCTCCAACTTGTTTCTCAGAAAAGGTGTGGTTTAAAAAATCATCTACTCCGTCCAAGTATTTTTTAATAACTCTGTCACAATACATCCATCTTTTACTTCTAAGAATATTCATGACATTCAAGATATTCTTTTCTTTTCTGCAATTATTATAAGAGTAAAAAATACATTAGTAAGAAATTCTTAGTGCATTAAGAAATGAGGAAGAAACGAACAAGATAAAGATAGTTGAGGTTGATTCTATCATAAATAACTAAATGTAAATAACAAATGCATATAACGCCTTTAAATTGATTTAAGAATAACAAATTAGAATGAGTTATTCATTCAAACAAAGGATTAAACTGCAAAATCCACATCCATATTACCAGCAAGGATAGAACTCACAGAGAAAACAAACTGATTTTAGTAACAAGAATCTAATAACTAAAACAACAGGGAAAAAATAGCTTGGTGTTTGGGAAGTATATTGAAACAAGCAAGAATAAAACAAGCATGGACTCTTAAAAGATTCATTAGGACAGATAAGCATAGTAGATGCCTTTGCATTAGAAGAATTTATAAAAATAAAACTTAAATTCTCTTGCTACACATGTAATTCAGTTAAATAAGAGTTTTGTTCAAGAATATCACTTCTAATTCAAAAAGTGAGACACTTCAGGCTGCTAACTTAGGTTCGACATTTTGGACATGAAACAGAATTCTAGTTTTTAATTCAAAAACAACGACAGAACCTATGAGCATGATACGTGAGACATAAGAAAACAGAATTAAATTAGCATCGATATTACTGACTTACGGTAGGTGAACTTAACAAAAAAAAACTTATCAATCAAGCTGCCAAAGTTTAATATTTAAACGAATATATTTAAAATTGATCATTTCTTTTCTTAACAAGTATCATATCTTAAAAAACATTCTCCTAGCATATCAACCATTAAGTAACACTTTTATAATTTAAAGTGCAAAAGGCAAAACTAGAATTAACAATATTAAGTAACACGAAGAGCTCTCGAAAGCTAACGAATTGAATTGTTCATGTCCACTTAAATCCATAATTCAAATAGAATTACTTTACGCTTAAATTAACATAATTTTCTTTAAGTATAGTCTGCTATGAATAACTTATAGTAGTCGAAAGTAAACATATAGTAATAGGGAAAACAAAAGAATCAACTCATTCAATTGCCCGCCAATTTAACAACATCCGAAGATCACAAATCATAATAGCTAACACAAAAAAAATATTATCTATACAAATCACAAACTGTTGTAGTTGTACATCACAAATTACAAATCGGCTTAGGCTCAAGTATTTGGGTACCTGGTAAGTAGAATACTTTGACGATGAAGATAAGAAAGTGAAGGAGAAGAACAATATCAGTAACAATCTCGAAACCTACATAAAAAGATAAGACTGAGAGTTAAATAACATTGATGCCTCAATAACTTTTTAAAGCAACAGTAAAGAAAATTAGATATTTAACTGGTTTCCTCCTTGTATGCTTAAATCTTTACCTTAAGAAAAAGATATGCTCAAATTGATTATCTACAAGCCTTTCCTTCAAATGGTAAAGCTAAAATCAAAATATTATTTTAGTAGAATGCAATATTTTTCTATTCGAACATTGCTAAATTTAAAGGTAGGATCACTGCATATACAGAAATATAAGAAATCTCTTATAGCCGGCTTTAGCAATATATCTCATAGAAGTTTCTAGCTTGTAATTAACTAAATCTAAAAGTTCAAGCAATTGCAATCCCAGTTTCTCAGCACAAAAATGCTAAGAGCTATATAACAAGCACATCGGATGTGCTAAAGTTTAGGTTAAACTTTAAAGTGAATAAGCATATGAAAACTTCGCACATCAAACAGACGACATGGACTATCAAGAACGGAAAAAATTTCCTGATACATGTCCCTAAACCATATCAAGCACTCACTCGGATGATTTCAACAAATCGAAAAGAAACCAAACTATATATGTGAAAAGACAACTGTTTTAATTGAGTTTAAATAAACTTTTGAACTCAATTCAACAGAACATGAACATCAAACATAATAGTTTTCTTATTAATCTAATAAGAAATAACAATTCTAAGAACAACTTAATAATACAAGAGTGAAAATATTTGCCCGATCAATTTAAATCAAGAAGTAAACAACATACGCAACGCAAAAGTTTTTATATCATTATGATGTTGGAGTTTTATAATTTAAATCTACCGCGAGCTCACATCAATTTTCTTAAATAGTTAATCAGGTAATCTCAAGGGCAAAATACTCACCTAACCAAAAACTAAAAAAATAGTCTTCTCCAAAAATATAACTACATTAAGAAATTACCTCAAATACTCAATAAATCATCTTCTTAATACATAAATCCATTGCACACAAGTTTAAGAAATATCATCAGAAATTATCCAAGAAACACTTCTCAAAACTTGAATTACATCAACTTTATTATTTGAACCAGAGAAGAAGGAATACCAAAGAAGATGCGCAAGTAGTACTAGTTTTATCGCAGTCAATATAGGTGGGTGTCCCTTAGGTTTATAAAATCTCAAAAACTCACATGATTTTTTTATATTAAAACACAGGTAATTTTTCTTTTCAATTTTAGATTTGCTAAAATAAATAGCGTGTTCATATTCAGCCTCTTCCTCCTGATACAATAACAAAAGCTCTGGCAGATGAATGCTTTTCTAAAATATATATTACAGAAAAAAGAAGAAAAAAACTTATTCTACTGCACCAACTTTTCTAAAAATCTCAACAAATAGAGATCTAGAATATAGAAATAGTGAAGTTGAATCACTAAATTCATAATTCAATATAGAAACCTATGCTATAAAATCAATTATGTTGCAACAATCACTAAGTGGTATGATTTGATTATTGGAAAAACAGTTTCATAGATTCTTGAAGCTAGATAATTATATATACCAACAATACCAAATTAGAAAAAATACTAAAAAATTCTCATTCAAGAATTAAATCTGCGGCAATGAAAATCCAACAACCAGCAATTACAAATTTTCATCAACCAAATTAGAAGTTTCAGGGCGACGGTCTGGGAACTGAGTGTAATGGTTATCCGAGGTGCGAGGAGTAGCCGGCCGATTTGGGTTTTGTTAAATTTATTGAATTGTTTTGTCAGAGAACGTAATTGCTATCGCTCAAAGGTGCGGTCATGTAGTTATTGAGATTGGAGATAAAAATTATTGAAAATCATCAACAAAGTAACCAAAAAACAAAAACGAAGTCATCATATTCGTTGGCTTTTGGAATCTGATGATATTCAAATTTTGTTTTTGTACCATCCACAGACTCTAATATAAGTCAATCCACATGATAGTAGGACTTAAAGACAAATAAAGATACTTACCAACAAGTTTGATGGTGGACGACAATTTTGTTGCCCATGGGGATTTGGAGAGCCTGCCGTAATAATATTTTTTCTTTAATCCTAATTTCTGGGGATGAGGGGGCTCTCGGTATGAGAGGGTTTGAGAGGGTATATTAACGTTTGCGCGGGAGAGGATTTAGAGGAAAAATTAGAAATCGGAGGGAATACCAAAAGTAAATATTTACCGATTAATATCCATTGGCCGCTAATATTTGCCTTCCGTGAATAGATTAACGGCAATTAATTTATTGCCGCTAAATAATTGCCGCAAAAGCCGCTTTTTGTTGTAGTGCGGGTGGTACGCCTACCACGAGATATAATGAAATGGGAGCGGGTGGTACGCCTACCACAAGATATAATGAAATGGGAGCGGGTGGTACGCCTACCACGAGATATAATAAAATGGGAGCGGGTGGTACGCCTACCACAAGATATGAGAAATGGGATCGGGTTGCACGCCTGCAACAAGTTGTGAACCGAGAGTGAAATCTGCCTTTGTTTTTCCTTGTTCTTGTTAGAAGTTAAATTTTGGTTTCCTGATAATTCTCTTAAGATTTTGTTTTATCTGTTATTTCCTGAAGCATGTTCCCCCCTCCCATCTTTATTTGTTTATTTCTGCTTTACTTTTCGCTGTATATCATATAATTTTACAGGTTTATTTGGTGGTCTGGTCCTAGCCTCGTCACTACTTCGCCGAGGTTAGGCTAGACATTTACCAGCACATGGGGTCGGTTGTGCTGATACTACACTCTGCACTCTTTTGTGCAGACCCCAGTGTTGTAGACTTCGGACCGTAGGTTGGAGGCTATTTTCAGTTCACGCGGAGATCCAAGGTAGACCTGCAGGCGTCCGCAGGCCCTAGCGTTTCCTCTATCCTTATTTCCTGTTTCATTTTCCTTATATTCAGAAACAGTGTACTGCTATTTTCTTCAGACTTTGTATGTAGTAAATCTTAGACCGTCTGTAATACTGTGACACCAGTTCTGGGTAGTCGAGGTTCAAACAGTTGTATTAGAAATTCATGTTCAGATAGCTTATGGCTCCTTTCTTCCGCTTATGTTAAATTCCGCTGTATAAATGTTATTATTATTATTAAAATTGCTAATGAATACAAAATGAGTAAAAAGGGTAAATTGTGAAATTATTGGCTTGCCTAGCTCGTACTAGTAGGCGCCATCACGACTCCCAAGGGTGGGAATCTGGGTCGTGACAGTAAATTATACACATAATATGAGACAGTTTATGAGATTTTCTTTATTGCAAAGATAGAAATTATTTTTTCACAAGAAAAGAAGGTTATCTTTTTACCGTTTTAAGAATTAAGCGTACGAATTTTACTCTTTATATGAGATTAGGAAAATTAGAAGTTAAGAAAATATGTTTTTTTTTAACATGGATATTTAATAAAATAATAGTGAATGTATTAATTTTATATGGTACCAAGTGACCATGTTAGTGAGGTGTATAAAGTGTATTAAAAATAAGTAGAATTTTAAGTAAGTTGTGATAATTCTTAATTAGGTGGATAATTGGATTAATTAATGATTTTTGTGCGAAATTAATTAGTAGTTATCCAATTTTGGATATATTTTGAGCCCCCCATGTGGCAGCCTTACATCATTAAGTGATGACTCTTCATTTTAGACAAATCCGTAAAATGCAAAAAAATTAGTTCCTTTAAGATTCTATAAGTTGGTATCCTTGTGGAGATCTCTACATTACCTAGTATAACTAAGAATTCTTGAGATTTTCAATACTATGTCCATGTGATTATGTGAAAAATCTACTTTCAAAGCTATAGACTTCAAGATCCTGTAAGGATAAAAGGACTTATTCTATTAAGTGTTTGCAATTATGGTAGTTATTTTAATGTATTGGATAGAATATATCAGCTTATAAACACTACGAATAACATATAACATATTGTTCTGCCCAGCATTTGCGGAAATCTGTACAGAAGCTTGGGACCTTTTCTTAAAGTAGTCATGTAATACTACATTAATGTTCAGGTTGAATCTATCTTGGGATAAAAACCTAAATGCTTTCTTTCATGTTAGTAGATGGAATGGAACAAGGATCGTGTGACGACCCAAAGGGTCATCACCTGTTTCCTCATTCATTCTGTGCTTCCGAGGCCTTGAAAACCTCATTTTTACTTGCTTCGATTTGCGTGCGCAGTCCGGGCGCGTAGCCGGAAAGCTTTTATGCTGAAATATGTGAATTCTGTGAAAAATTTGAAGAATTTTGATATTAATATGTTTAAGGTTGACTTCGGTCAACATTTTTGGTAAACGGACCCGGACTCGAGATTGGACGGTCCCGGAAGGTCCGTAGAAAAAATATGGGACTCGGGCATGTGCCCGGAGTCGAATTCCGAGGTCTAGAGCCCGAGAAATGAATTTTTCTGTGAAATTGTTTTTCTGAAATTATTAAGGAAAATAGAAATGAAAATTTATTAAAAGACTGTGGTATCGGGCTCGTATTTTGGTTCCGATGCCCGGTACAAGTCTTATATATTGTTTAAGCGCTTTCTGTAAAGTTTGGTCGAAATCGGACGTCGTTTGACGTGTTTCAGACTATGAGTTCAAAGCTTGAAAGGTTATGAAGTTTAGAAGAAGAATCATGTGTTTTGAGGCTTGATTCAATGATTTTGATGTTATTTTGGCGATTTGATCGCACGAGCAAGTCCGTAGGATATTTTTGAGGTTGTATGCATGTTTTGTTTGGAGCCCCGAGGGCTCGGGTGAGTTTTGGATAGGTGTCGAGTTGCATTTTTGAACTTTGAAAAAAAAAATTGCAGATCAGGTCTGGTATTCTCGCATTTGCGAAAGATTCCTCGCAAATGCGAGACTCGCATTTGCGAGTTCCCCATCGCAAATGCGAGATGGAAGGGTTTCAGCTTGGGTCGCAAATGCGACGCCACTGTTCGCAAATGCGATATGGCCATGATCGCAAATGCGATCGGATGTTCGCAAATGCGAACCTAGTCCACCAGACCTGAGTTCGCAAATGCGATCCCTGTGGTCGCAATTCCCAAGCCTGTGATGTTCGCAAATGCGAACTTACCTTCGCATTTCCCATATCCGAGGCCCAGCAAATTTTATACCTTGTCGAATTTTCACCACTTTTCACCATTCTTTCAAAACCCAAACACCATAGGCGAATTTTCAAGAGCAAACTTCATCCCAAATCACTTGTAAGTTGATTTTTACTCAATTCTTTCCATCTTTAACATCATTAAACATGTTTTCCACTTGAAATCAAAGATTTTCATGGGCGAAATTGGAATTTTTGGGTAGAACCTAGGTTTTCTATAAATTGGGGAGTTGGACCTCGATTTGAGGTCCGATTTCAAAATAAATTATATATTTGAACTCGTGGGGGAATGGGTAACCAGATTTTGGTTCGAACCTCGAGTTTTGACCACGTGGGCCCGGGGGCGATTTTGGAATTTTTGGGAAAAACTTGGGAAACTCATTTTTATGCATTCAAATGGATTCATATAATGTTTATTAAAGTAATCGAGCAATTTGTGATTAGATTCGAGCGAATTGGAGGTGGAACCGCGAGGTAAAGCAATAGTTGGATTAAGTGGATTTCAAGGCTTTGAGGTAAGTGTTTGGTTTAACCCTAGCTTGAGGGAATAGGAGTTGAATCTTGTTGTTAATTGCTATGTGATCGAGTATGATGTATAGGCATGGTGACGAGTATCTATACATTGGTGTCTAGCATGACCGTGAGTCCTTATGATGTGATTATCATGATTTGGTTGTGAACTCCGTGTTTATTGGAGGATTTCTAGCTGTTGTGAATAACATGTGAACGGTAATATGATCACTTGATTCCTGGGAGCATTGGCTCGAATTGTGATACGAATATTGAAAGTATACGAAAAGACTTGATTCTTTGGAGCGTTGGCTCAAAATAGTAAAGTGAATTAAAAGATAAGGAAAGTAAGAAAGAGAAAGCGTTGTTGATTATTCCCTTGCCGGGATGTTTGGTTGCATTTGTTGAATTCATTCCCTTGCCGGGATGTTTGTCAAATATTTGCTTATTTTTATGCCCCTTTATTGTGACTGTTGTTTGGGGGAGTCGGGCTGTTAAATGATATTGAGGATCGGGTTGCGCGCCGCAACAATGATATTGAGGATCGGGTTCACGCCGCAACAATAAAATGTGAGGATCGGGTTGCGCGCCGCAACAATGGTACATGATAAATGATATGGGTCGGGTTGCACGCCGCAACAGTGGTATTTGTGGAGCGGGTTGCACGCCGCAACAATAGTAATTATGGAGCGGGTTGCACGCCGCAACAGTTATTGAGGCTATGTGTTTGTATTTGAGTATTGATTCTTTATTCTTTGTGAACCTACGCTGTTTTTTAGTTGTTACTCTGGATTGTTGTTAATATTGTATCCCCCCTTAGCATGTTTCCCCTCCCATGTTGTTAATTGCCTTGTATTCGATTTCCGCTGTATATTTATGACTGCACAGGTTTATGTGGTGTCCGGTCTAGCCTCGTCACTACTTCGCCGGGGTTAGACTAGACACTTACCAGCACATGGGGTCGGTTGTGCTGATGCTACACTTCTGTGCATTTTTGCACAGGTCCAGGTTTTGAGGAGCAGCAGCAGCAGTAGTTCGGAAGCAGGCGATTCATATTCACGAGACTGAGGTAGCCTTGCAGGCGTCCGCAGGCCCGGCGTCTCTTCTCATTGCTTTCTTTTAGACTGTTGCCTCCTTGTTTCGAGACAGACAACTGTTATATTTCTTTCAGACCTTTGTATTTAGTTTATTCTTAGTGGTTCGTGAGTAATGTGACACCAAATCTTGGGTAGAGGCAGTTTTTGACTATTCCGCGCTTTAAATTCATCATTTTAAGACAGACTTCCGCTATTGTTCTTATTAGACTTTATGTTCTATATTGATCTTATAAACTGTTAAAGATAATTGCTAGTGATGGAAAGGTAATTAAGTGGCTTGCCTAGCTACCACGAGTAGGCGCCATCACGACTCTGATGGTGGGAAATCCGGGTCGTGACAAGTTGGTATCAGAGCACTAGGTTACATAGGTCTCACAACTCACGGACAAACATAGTAGAGTCTGAGGGGTAGGTACGGGGACGTCTGTACTTGTTCCCCAGAGTCTATTG